CCACTTGACCACTTGCCCACTTGCCAACCTTCTAGAAGGACTACAGCTAGACTTTTGGAACTCGCTAAGACTTCTACTCTATAGATCTACGGATCGAACCCCTGCTGCCTATGGACCTACGCCAGACCTACCAACTGTCTACGAATACACAGGTCACGGGTTCAACTCTCGGGGACTACACAGATACTGTACATGGGTAGGGTGAAGTCTAGGGATCGAGCCCTGGGACCTGCGTCTGTTACTGCAAAAGGTGAAAACCGTTTCACAGGAAGCTAATGGGAGCTTCCAGCCAGGCCACACACAGTAACGGAGGGGCTTCCACTTCCATATAGGAAGGAGAGCAGCCAGGGCCTGGACATTCTGGCCCACGCAGGCAATGCGTTGTGAGGAGACCTGGGGAGGGGTCACCTACCGTTCGCTGAAGCCAAGGGCAACGGCGCCTGTCACTCACCGCGCCCACTTCCGAGGTCCTCAGCGATCAGTAGGGTGTCGGGAGCTCGCTTTGCTTCCCACTCACCGCCTTAGCAATGTTGAAGAATATCTTTCACACATTGACTTTCAACAATTTTCAAGCATTCACAGTTTCTCGTTTAGACCTGTGCTGTCAAGTTCGCTTGTGCAGTGAAAAACTTGCTGCACTCCCCGAATGAAGTTGGAGTGAGTTCTCAGAGAAAGCATGGAAAAATAATTGTAGCCTCTCCCCCCTTTTTAGATGTAATTATTGCATCTGCAGATAAAACATGGAAGGCTGATTTGACACTCCTTGATTAGACAGATTCCATGTGTCTGGAGATGAGGCATGAAACGGTAATTAGACGCTCCTTGATTGGACAGATTCAATGTATCTGCAGATGAGGCAGGAAACGGTAATTAGACGCTCCTTGATTGGACAGATTCAATGTATCTGTAAATGAGGCATTAAACGGTAATTAGACGCTTCCTGATTGGACAGATCCAATGTATCAGCTGTTGAGGGATGTAGCGGTACACCGTCCCATAATCTGCCACGTTCGTTTTCTGCTCAAGTTGTCCCGTACCTTTCACATTCTCTAGATTGGCTTCGCCAATCAGCCTTGTTGACAGACTTCCCTCTTTCCTCGTACAGTCACGTTTGCTAGGAGGCTGTCTTCTTTTTCTAACTTACCTCTCTCTCTGACAAGCTTTCCTTCTCCCTGTGTTTTCTTTGTCTTGGTGCTGCCTCTCTCTCTCTCTCTCTCTCTCTCTCTCTCTCTCTCTCTCTCTCTCTCTCTCTCTCTCTTTCTGCTACGCTGTCAGTCTCCCCTCTCTCTCGCTGTCTCTCTTTCTCTTTCTCTCTCTCTCTCTCTCTCTCTGTGGCATACTGCGTAGCCACACGGGCCCTACAGGGCCCGTCCCGGACATTCAGCCTAAAAGCCTAAAACTTAGGGCTTACAGGCCCCGTTCATTTCAGCCTGGATGCTGAAAAACGAGGGCCTGCAGGCCCTACCTCGTTTCAGCCTATTTCTGGGTCTTTTCAGACCCAGAGTTTTCAGCCTGAAACGGAGGGCCATTTTCAGGCCCTCATTGTTTCGACCTGCTCCTAAGACTCAGGCACGGAAACAGGGATGCGGAACAGGCCCAAAATAGCCTATTCCTCACGTACTCGAGCAGGRGCTGCAGCTGCAGCCCCTGCCTCCCTTCGGCAGGCTCAAGAGGCACACCCGTAGTACATAGGAGGTTCCCATGCACTTCACRGGTRGGTAGWGTCAGTAGGCGGAGGTAGTCTTCAGGATTCGGCCGCAGCACTCAGGAGGAGCGTTGCAGTAGTCTTCAGCGCTAGGCAGTAGTGGTAGCGCTAGCTGTAGTCTTCGGCGCTGGGCGCCATAGCTGTAGCTGTAGTCTTCA